AAAAGCACAGAATGCACAAGTATTTTCTTAATGAAATATTTACTGCAGTGTTTTCCTATTCATTTATCATTATTCACTTGTGTGTCTGAACTTGCTTGAAAAATTGGCTATTCAGTTCTCTGGCATGGACCCATTCTGGTTGTCTACAACAGTGAGGCTTTCATAAGTAAATCTGTTCAGAAATATAAAATATAGATTATACATCCAAGCTGTAGCTTATCCACCCATTCCTGGGTTGCCAAATAGTACTTCAACAGCCATGCTTTTTAATTCCACAAATACCCATCAACTCAACACTCAGCAAAAAACATCAGACCCACTTTTCTGAAGGTCTATAAATGCTTGTGTTACATCTTCCTGTTGATCAGTTCTGCCTGTAGAAACAGCAATGACCCTCTGCCATTCTTCCTACTCCTAGCTCTTTGATCACCCTCCAGCTCCACAGCAGCAGAGCTAAACAGGATTACAGCTTCAAAAAACCTGAAACTTTCCACCTTTCCTCAAGGATATTGGGCATGAACCTGATCCAGAGTTAAAAAATAAATAAATAAAAACCAGCACAGTGTAAAGTTAGGTTTACAATTTCCCTGCAGCCATGCTTGCACAGGTACGGCAGCCCAGTTATTTGAATGAGCAGCTGTACCTGTCAAAAACACAGGGAAATGGAAACTTTTCTAAAACTGCAGCCGCACGGAAACCACAGTGCTATGTTTTACATACACCGGAAAATGCACCACAGTTTTCAAAGTGTAAAAGGTGCCATTAAGAACTAATAGTACCCCTACAAGTCTGCTAAACAGTGGAGTGTTTTTGCTTCAGGAATGCTTGCAACTTACACACAGTCCAGCACCGCACATATGTGAACCTAGCCTTCCTTTTATTTAAAACAAAACAATTACAAACACCCGCTCTAGCATGTCTGACATGTTTTGTTCATTGACATCAGGTGTCTGGTGGCTTTAACTGAGTTGGAGTTACATTATGCTAGTTTTATTTCAAACTCCTGGACAGTGCAACAAGTTCCTGCACAATATACATGTAGAGGTGGGAACCCAGGAAATTAGAAGTTGCAATCATGTCTAGCTGTGCTGCTTTGGAGCTCAAGAATGAAGAGCTAGAAGGAAGAATACCAGAACAGGGAGGCTGCTGTTTTTATGGGAGGGTTACTTAGAGAAATGATGGGGAGGCTGTAGCACAAACATTTCTAGACCTTCGGAAATGCAGATCTAATGTTTCCACTGAGTGTTGAATATGATGAGTGTGTGTGTAAAGTGCGACTTTTAGAGTACTATTATTGTTTCTCAGGTAAATGAGCATAAAATACATTCAATGCACATGTAAGCTTATAGGAATATTCTCTTTTCCCCAATGAATGCTCTGGTGATAAAGTGTATGCAAACCTAAACAATGGACTTCTCTTATTTGCTCCCATTTCATCTGCCTATAGGCAAATTGTTTTCTTTTATTAGTGTTGGATTGAGTGGAAGATTAGGATCCATTGCATCCATGTCGGGGAGATTCACAATTTACCCTATTTGTCTTGGTGACTGTTATAACCGAGAGTGAAAAGAAATCCCAAATCCCTGAGTTGTCACCAAAAAGCAAAGAAGTCTTCAAAAAGGGAACATTAAATCTGGTGACAACCAGGTATTTCCTCTCACTTCCCGTTTCTGCTATGGAGCACAAAGTAAAGAAAAATCTCAAAAAGAACATCAAGTATATAAAAAAAAAAAAAAAAAAAATTTGACAGCGGTTGTAATCCTCCCTTACTCTAATCCAAAATCTAAAACACTGTTTCACCTAAATATACATTTTAAAGTATGTTTGAGAAGTGCCAAGCCAAAAAAAAACCAAAAAAAAAAAAAGACCCTTTTTATATAATATGGAGAAGAGAAAAGAGGGAAGTGTTCTCTCATAGGCTGGCAATGCTGCTCTTCCAAGGACAGGAAATGTGTTACTCACAATATCACCAGTTGAAAATAAAGAAAACGAATGCAGCCAACACATCTAAAGATCAGTAAGCTGTAATATTACATTTATGCTTATGGGTTTAGATATGCTTCAAGAACAACAAGCCAAACAGTTCACATGCTGCTAAATGGTTAGCACTTCCACCTGGAAGTACTAGGGTCGTTGGTTCGAATCCCAACAGCACAGCACCACTTGCCTGGAGTTTGCATGTTCTCCCTGTGCCTGCGTGGGTTTCCTTCCACACTCCAAAAGACATGCTGGTAGGTTAACTGGATCCTGTCTAAATCGGCCCTAGTATGTGTATGTATGAATGTAAGTTAGGGACATTAGATTGTACCGCCCCTTGAGGGCTAGGGACGTGTGCGTGTGTGTGTATATATATATATATATATATATATATATATAAAATAAAGCGCTGCGTAAATTGACGGCGCAATATAAGTACCTGTAATAATAATAATGCTGCCATGTGAACAGATAAAAATCGTTTGCTATGTGATGAGTTGCAAAGCTCAAATAGGTTTTAAAAAAAATACTCAGCACCACTGAAAACCACCAATTTTGCAAATACATTTCAGCGGTCTCTTCAGATTCTGGTTATTGAGATTCAGCACAAACATGATGTTGTTTTGTTAAATGAACACCATTTATTTTAATACTTGCAGTATTTGATGAATGCTGCATGCAGTCAATTTAAACATTGCATACTCCCAGCAATAATGCACATGCTTGATGTATTAGCTGTAAAGAACGTTTAACAAACCACTTAACTATACATAATAATAAACAAATTCCAATGGAACAGGCATGCACTAAACTAAATAATGCACAAATTCCAAAGGAACGAGGATACACTGAACTGAAATAATGCACAATGGTTTTAGATGGAATATGGGTAGATGTGTATCAAACAGATGTTGGCATTAGCACTTCAGAAATAAAACAGCATTGTTCTGTTTAATGCTTAAATTTTTAAAACTTTTATTCCCAGTTCAGGTTAGCAGCCTCAATGTTATATTTCACATATTAAAACATGAACCAGACCCCTTATATATTCATGGTCAGACAGTTGCAAATGCAGTTCTTAAGCTGGCAGCTATGTGTATACGTGAATCATGAGCAAGCGTCATGTCAGACAGATTGTCTGGGACACATTAACAACTGTGCAGTGACAGTGCGAAGATTAAGTAGGGAGCTGCAGCTACAAAAAGCTATACATTTTAAACAAAGTGATTTTTTTTATTTTAACAAGCATAGACATTTGTTATATTTCACAACAAGATAAATAATCCAAATTTAAACTAAATCAGCAATTTCTACAGTATGCCATTAAAATGGGCCTTCAGACATACAGAATGAGAAAAACCTGACAAGTGTCTATTTACACAAATCCTAAGGTGAGTTTACAGAACTAGGTTATCCTTGGTCATTTACCAAGATAAAGACATTTGAACACCTCTGTGGCTATCCTATCCCTTCAGTGCTGGAAGGAAATGCTTTGCGTCCCCCTCTCCTCTGTGTCTATTAGGTAGGAACACCCCACTCCATCCCCTGGAAGAAAATTCACAAACAAAAATATTTGTGCATCAACAGATCAACTTTTGTTTTTTTAACAAAATAAAAGTTTGGCTTGGTATATGAAGCAGACATTCGCTGGACTTCATCTTAGTAAAAATTTTCACTGCCACAGAAAGTACATCCAGAAAGCAAGGCACAACGTGCTGAAGCAGGAAGACCCTAAACTGGACGTAGGAACCAGATTGTTCTATTGAAAGATGCTGTCCAACCACTAAAAATCATTAATGTCCTTTGATACTGTGACCAAAGTTATATGACCATTACTTATCAATTCTAAAAAAAAAAAAAAAAAAAAACACAAAAAAAAAAACAACAAAAAAAAAGTTTAAAAATATTGAAGCTAGTATTTTAAACATAAACCTCTATAATACACTAACTTACAAACGCTGTCAGTGCGATCTACTACAGAACATATTGAGCAGGCCTCAATAATTTATAAGTGCTTAGCACAAAAGACTGACAGGTGCTATTATGGTACCTTTTTCAGGTTTGGTATTGTTTTCTAAATAAATGAGCTTATGCTTCAGAATGTCATGCTAGCAAATTATAAAACAAATCATATTGCATTTGGTTAATATTACATTTGTTTATATACCAATGCCTCCAGCTGTGCAGTAAGCAGACTCACAGGGAGATCTGCAGATGTCATGTTATTTTCACCTTATAAATTCCAAAAGTCAGCAAACGCATAACCTAAAACAATAGAAAATACGTAAATGATCCTTGTAGCATTTAAATAACCAAAATATCTTTGTGTGTGATATTTGAGGTACACTTCCACTGGGTCAATATTTTAATAAGGTTAAAGTCAGGAAAAGATTTGGCAACCACAACTAGTGTAACTTGAGCATATGAACTATTATTATCTGCTTATCTGGTAGTGCTGTCATATAGAGTTATGGTTGTAAAAGTCAAAGTTCAAAGCATATTGGGGCAAATCGTTTGGAGGCAGGGACAATACACAGATTGCAAACTGTATCTTTAAAAAAGAAAAACCTTTTTTTTTTTTTTTTTTTTTTTAAATTAAATGTATAAATTTCAAAAGTAGCCTTAAATGTTGCAAAGTCCAGCCACCCTTCAATGTAGAAGGGGTCTTCAGATGAATCTTTCCAGCACTGAAAGTGAAGCCTGGGCTCCACTACAGGTTGTAATTGAAGTCTGTCTTTGTAATTCAGATTGTAAATAAAAGCAGTATCCTGATTTAATTTTCTATGTGAACCTTCTTCTTTTACATGTATTCTAACATTTGGTGAGGGAAGAAAATGAGATCTGCTTAAATTCGAAAAAAAAAAAAAAAAAAAAAAAAAAAAAAAAAAAAAAAAAAAGACATCTCACTCCAAGCCAAAACCCTAGTTTAAGCACCACTCAAAAAGTGGCCATAAAAGCATCTTTTCCCCCACTGCCCAGCCTAGAAATACTAGCCGCTTAGTTGACAGTTTTTAGCAATTGGTTTAAACAACACTTTCTCTGTTGCCCGATATCAGAACAGCTCGGCGACAGATTGGGCATGTTGAGTTCTCAGAAAGCCAGCGATCAATACAGTGGACATGGTACTCATGAGAGCAGGGAAGTTTGCGCAGCTTGTTCCCTTCTGTGTACTCTGTGATGCACACACTACAAGTTTTCAGGGCATCATTTTCACCATAATTTCGGGTAGACAGGTTGTCAATTTGTTCTTTGGTGAGTCCTCTTGGCTGATCATCATCATCCTCGTTAAGAAGGAAAAACTGGGCCAATCTGAGAAATGGCAAAGAACCACTTTCTTCAAAGGTCACAGATCCTCTGTTATTACGGATCTCCCTCCTGCTTCCAGAGGTTGAAACATCATTACTTCCATTATCAGCTTCCATGGGAGGGATTGGAGGGATTGGAGGGATGGGAGGGTTGGGAGGGTTAGGAGGCTCTACTGGCTCTGGTACAGGTGCTCTGGGAGGAGTGGCTGCTGCTGCTGGTGGTGCTGGTGGTGCCGGTGGCGGTGCTGGTGCTGCTGCAGCTGCAATGTTCTGCATTTCCACTCCAGCAGCTACTGGAGGAGAACCAGCAGCAGGGGTTCCAGGCTCAGCATCATTGTCACTATACATGAAGTAACTTAGCTCCCCAAACCCAGTCATTATCTGTCTCAGCATTGTTTGTATAGCAACAGAGGTGGTCTCGCTTAGGCCAGTGTTCAGTATTCTACGGATTGGAATTCTGATAGTACTGACATATGTCCGGACACCGGCACGTTCAGACCTTGAGAAAGTACGTCGAAATCCTCCTCTTTCACTCTCATATGTAACTGTGTTGTTAGGGGTTTGAGAACGAGAGCGTGTCCTATTTGCAATGCTGTCTCTTTGTCGATATTCCCCTGGGCGTACCCGCCTGACCTGAAGATCTAAAACTATAGTCGGTGGCCTCTGACCAGTTCCTGTAGCCTCTGCATTTTCTTGAGTCTCTGCTGGAGGGGGCTGTGGGGAGCTTCTTGTCTCAGAGTTTAAAACCACAGTGCTTGCATTTGGAGGATCAGCAACTAATGCCTGTTGTCTAGATGTTACATGTTGCCTAGTTCTAGAGCTGCCCTCGGTCTCAGTTGCAGAACTGCTCAGATATGCAGTCACAAGCTGTCTGGTTCTAGAGCTACCCTCTGCTTCAACAGGCGAAGGTTCAACAGTCTGTGAGGAATTATGCTGAGCCCTTCGAATAGGTGTTTCAACAGCTGGATTCAAGGGTGATCTGCTTCTGTCATATCTGGACCTGATCCTTCGCTGCTCTGGGCTTCTGCTTCTTGCTCTCCTTTGACCTCTTTGAGGAATAGGCTCCTCTACAGCAGTTTCGCTAGTTGCCACAATTTCAGGTTCAGTTTCCACCTCAGGTTCTGGTTCAGCCTCACCCTGATTGGTAAGTTCCATACTTTCAACCCCAGAGCCTTCTGACTGTTCACCAGGAGGCAGATTTTGATTAACGGTACTGCGATTCACATTAATTTCCAAACTAAACCGGAAATCTCCACTATTTGGATTTGTTCTGCTAACTGCTCTCCATGATTGGTTGCCACGTTGTCCACTCCTTGTCGTGTTTCCAGTTTGTCGCACTGAATTTAGCCAGTCTATTATAGAATCTCCATTAGAAGAGTCTTCCGCATTCTCACCTGTAGAATATGAACATAGAGGAAAATAAATTTTAACATGCCATCAAGAGAAAATACAACCTACCAGTTAACCATTTGTGCAACAAACCCGCAATAAAGCTATATTTTGTACAGTACCTACATATAAAACTTCACCTTTTTTGTCACACACATATGAAGGGCTCTGAGAAAGTATTGACCATCCATATCTATCAAGAAAACATTCATCTCTAATCAACTACGTCCATCCAAATAAATCCAGTACAAAAGACACTTTTTATTGTTTTCCTCTATTATTTACACTACTAGAACTCTTCTGTTATGATTGCTTTGACATTGTTCCTGAGTTGACTGCCAGGATAAACTCAGTGTTTACTGTTATTTGTAGTTTAGTGCCTTATAGTCGTCTGGTTTTAACAGTTATGCTGCCTTTTGTGATTTAGAGAAAAAAAAAATGTATACTCACCTAGGTGGATGCAGCATCGAACTGATGGTGCATCTGTCACCCGCCGGATTTGCACTGAGAACTGAGAGATCAAACACCACTGGTTGCTCAGTTCTCAGCATTCTGTGAGCAGAGAGCCAGGGACTGTTGGTCTCTGGCTCTCTTCTCTGCATAAACACCAAAAAGAGGGGGGTGCTGTGTCTGTTAATGAAGTCAAAGAAAGGGATTTTACGGTAACAAAAAAAATCCAGTTTTCTGTAACGTTCACTGACAGACACTGCTCTTCTGATTCTTGAATGTAGGGATGTCCCAAAGCAGTGCCTCAACTAGGGTTAGGAGAACCAAAAAAACAACTAGAGAGACCAGGCAAACATGAAAACCAAACAAACCCTAAAGTAGCAAAAAAATCCCAGGAAAACAGAAAAAAGCCATGGAACCACAGGTCCTAGCAGGGAAACACATCTTTACTCCTGTACACTAGGCAGAAAAAACTGGATTGCCTATAGCAGAAAGGGGGTTTTATAACAGCTAAGACCGCCCCATGGGAGGTGCTTTGTTCTTTTCTGCCTAGTGTCCTACTCCTGTAGACGGCACTACAATTCTATGGTCAAAAATTAGAAGAGCTGTATCTGTTAACGAATATACAGTGCCTTGAAAAACTATTCATACCCCTTGAAATTTTCCATATTTTATCATGTTTCAACAAAAAATGTAAATGTATTATATTGGGATTTTGTGTGATAGTCCAACACAAAGTGGCACATAATTGTGAAATGGAAGGAAAATGATAAATGGTTCTTAATTTTTTTTTTTACAAATAAATACATGAAAAATGTGCACTTGTATTCAACCTCCTTTACTCTGATACCCCTAAACTAAAATCTAGTGGAACCAATTGCCTTCAAAAGTCACATAATTAGTAAATAGAGTCCCCATGTGTAGTTTATTCTCAGTATAAATACAGCTGTTCTGTGAAGCCCTCAGAGGTTTGTTAGAGAACATTAGTGAACAAACAGCATCATGAAGGCCAAAGAACACACCAGACAGGTAAGGGATAAAGTTGTGGAGAAGTTTAACGCAGGGTTAGGTTATAAAAAAAAATATCCCACGCTTTGAACATCTCACGGAGCCCTGTTCAATCCATCATCCAAAAATGTAATGAGTATGGCACAACTGCAAACCTACCAAGACATTGCCATCCACCTAAACTGACAGGCCAGGCAAGGAGTACATTAATTCTGGAGGAGCTGCAGAGATTCACAGCTCAGGTGAGAGAATCTGTCCACAGGACAACTATTAGTCGTCTACGCCACAAATCTGGCCTTTATGGAAGAGTGGCAAGAAGAAAGTCATTGTTGAAAGAAAGCCATAAGAAGTCTCGTTTGCAGTTTGAGAGAAGCTATTTGGGAGACACAGCAAACATGTCGAAGAAGGTGCTCTAGTCAGATGATACCAAAATTGAACTTTTTGGTCTCAAAGCAAAATGCTATGTGTGGCGGAAAACGAACATTGAACATCACCCTGAACACACCATCCCATCACCACCATGAAACATGGTGGTGGCATCATGTTGTGGGGATGCTTTTCTTTAGCAGGGACAGGGAAGCTGGTCAGAGTTGATGGGAAGATGGATGGAGCCAAATACAGGGCAAATTTAAAACCTGTTAGTCTCTGCAAAAGACTGGGGCAGAGATTCACCTTCCAGCAGGACAACGACCCTAAATATACAGCCAGAGCTGCAATGGAATGGTTTAGATCAAAGCATATTCATGTGTTAGAATGACCCAGTCAAAGTCCAGACCTAAATCCAATTGAGAATCTGTGGCAAAACTTGAAAATTGCTGTTCACAGACACTCTCCATCCAATCTGACAGAGCTTGAGATATTTTGCAAAGAAGAATGGGCAAAAATGTCATTCTCTAGATGTGCAAAGCTGGTAGAGACATCCCCAAGACTTGCAGCTGTAATTGCAGCGAAAGGTGGTTCTACAATGTATTGACTAGGGGGGCTGAATACAAATACACTCCACACTTTTCAGATATTTGTAAAAAAAATGTGAAAACCATTTATCATTTTCCTTCCATTTCACAATGATGTGCCACTTTGTGTTGGTCTATCAAATAAAATCCCAATAAAATACATTTACATTTTTGGCTGTAACATGACAAAATGTGGAAAATTTCAAGGGGTATGAATACTTTTTCAAGGCACTGTACAAGAAACATTTTTTTTTAATCTAACATAAAAAGAGGAGGAGTTAGAACTTGTCAGGTATTTGCTAAGACCCATTTATTGTTTTACAGACTACAATTTGAGTTTAATGTAAATCAGTTCTTTCCATATGCAGAATGCCTAAAATGGATGTGTCAATGAATGCTATGTTCATCATGGTGTTGTGTGGGCTTAAAAGCACAAACTAATGCCAGTCATTAGGAGATAAGAGGTTGTCAGTCTGCAGAATATGCCCATCACTGCTACAGAAGGACAGTGTAGCCATTAGTGTCAGAGAGATGTCCATCAAGGTAGCGGAATTTGTCACACACTGCTAACAGCTACTGGGAATGTTTTCTGTGTAGTGGCAGCAGATCTCACTGGTTACATGGGTACTGAAAAGCGAGGGGTGTGTTCTGTAGTTCAGACATAACTGGGGAGTGTAAGTCAGTTGTCTTCTTGAGAACAGAGGAAGAATAAATGTGTGTGGTGGAGGTGCTCTCTCATTAGGAGTGTTTTATTTAAAGTGATACTAAAGTCTTGTTTTTTTATGACTTCTTAAAAATAACAAAAGATTGTATACTTACCGGCTCTGTGCAGTGGCTTTGCACAGAGCAGCCTGGATCCTCCTCTGCTCAGGTCCCCCCTCCAGCGCGCTTTGCCCATCCCTCGTCGGGTGCCCCCATAGCAAACAGTTTGCTATGGGGACACCCAAGCAGGTGCATTCCTGAGCCACGGCTCTACATGTCCATTCATACACAGAGCCGTGGCTTACTCCTGTCCCCTCCCTCTCCTGATTGGCTCACTGGCAGTGATTGACAGCAGCGGGAGCCAATGGCTGCTACACACAGGTTTTTTTTCCCCTTCATGCATAGAATGCATGAAGGTAAACAACCTTGAGACTTAAGAAACACTGCGTATTCTGCTCCACTAGTGAAATAGTTTAAACTGTGAAAAAGGAATCTGAAAACACTTAAAAGGCTTTTTTAATGCAGGCTATAATTTGAATGCCTTTGACTATACAGAATAGGATATACTATATGAATATGAATCCCTTTTTAACATCATACAGTAATACCTCGGTTTACGAATGCCTCGGTAAAGTAATTTTCGGTTTATGAATGAAAATCCATTGAAAATAATGCCTCGGTTTACACTTCGCAATACGAAGTGTATGTCAGTGCTGATTTTTTAAATGCAATTTCCGTCTTTTTTCTTCTTCACTATAGCTCACAATATTAGCTGTCACTTTCCCCAGAGTTACAGGAAACTTTGTATCTTTTGAAACTGAAAGGAAACATTGTTGCTTTTAACTTGGGGGAAAAAACTAAAAAACTTTCTCTTTTAGCTAGAGGGGGAAAGTGACAGCTGAATTTCCAAACTACTGTATAGTGAGAAAAAAAAAAAAAAAAGCAAGCAGTAATTACATTTAAAAACTGGCACCTGACAGCTGAGTGTAAAAGAATTGTTGGCAATTAAAAAAAATTATAAAAAAAAAAGGTGTGGTGTCCCCCCTTCCATCCATACCAAGCCCTTCGGGTTTGGTATGGATTTTAAGGATCACTCCCATGCCAAAATAAAAAAAAAAACAAGAAAGGTTTGGTGGTCCCCCATAAAATTCATAGCAGACCCTTATCCAAGCAAGCAGCAAGGCAGGTCAAGAAAGGGGGGGGGGGGGATAGGAATGAGTGAGCCTTAAAAAAAGGGATGGGGGGGTTGCTTTGGGGCAGGGGACTCTCCCCCCCCCCCCCCCCAAGCACCTTGTCCCACAAGGGCCTCTTCCCCACAACCTTGGCTGGTGGTTGTGGGGGTCCACGTCCAGGGGGCTCATCGGAATCTGCAAGCCCCCATTAACAAGGGGGCCCCCAGATCCCAGCCCCCCCCATGTGAAAGAGGATGCGGGACCCCATCCTCATTCACAAAAAAAAAAAAACAAAGTGTAGTGTTTAAATAAAAAAAAAAAAAAAAAAAAAAAAAGGGGGGGGGGGGGGGGGGGGGCTTCTGTTCCCGACGCTGGCTGCCAGCCCCTCTTCCTCTGACCTGGCTTGAAAGTTCTTAAATATGAAAGGGGCGGGGCCACCCGGGGACATCACCCAAGTGACTCTGCCCCATCACTGATGTCACATGGGGTGGGTCACATGCATGATGTCCGGGTGGCCCCGCCCCTTACATATTTAAGAACTGTCAAGCCAGCTCAGAGCAAACAGCTGGCAGCCAGCATCGGGAACAAAACCTTTTTATTCCTCCTTTTTTTTTTTTCGGATCGGCGGCCATTGTGATTGACGTTGGATCTACTGCGGAGGACATTCTTTTATTAAAGGACTTGTCAAAGACCGTGTCCTGTATTTATTTACACTACAACTTTTTGTTTTTCGTGAATGAGGATGGGGTACCATCATTCACATGGGGGGGGTTCCGGGATCTGGGGGCCCCTTTGTTAAAGGGGGCTTCCAGTTTCCGATAAGCCTCCTGCCCGCAGACCCCCACAACCACTGGCCAGGATTGTGGGAAAGAGGCCCTTGTCCCCATCCACACGAGGACAAGGTGCTTTGAGGGGGTGAGCACTCCTGCCCCAAAACACCCCCCCCCTATGTTGAGTGTGTTGGGCATGTGGCCTGGTATGGTTTCCTGACCTGCCGGGCTGCAAGCTCGGATAAGGGTCTAGTATGGATTTAGGGGGGACCCCCACAACAATTTTTTTTTTTTTTTTTTTTAAATTTTGGAGTGGGAGTTCCCCTTAAAATCCATACCAGACCGAAAGAGGGAACCCCACGCCTTTAAATAATTTTTTTAATTGCCGTCAATTCTTTTACATTCAGCTGTCAGTGGGGAACCCCTCTGACAGCGGAAACATTAACACATGGTTGTCACTACTAAAATACTGCACAAGTTAATAAAATAACTCATGTGGTATTTTAGTAGCGTTTACTGTTTTTTTGACCTTCGGAACGGTTTAATTGGTTTTCAATGCATTCCTATGGGAAACAGTGTTTCGGTTTACATATTTTTCGCTATATGAAAAGTCCTGCAGAACAAATTAAATTCGTAAACCGAGGTATTACTGTATTTTGAATAGATAGATGAAAGGATGAATACTTCATCTAAACAAAATATCCCTAAACACTTGCTCAGTATACAAGTATTGAATTATGCCCGTTAAGCCTTGCCATCTGAAAAATAAGGCAGACGTGGGAGAGAGGATGACCTGTTAGTCCAGGTATACGTTACCGAAGGCCTAATAAAAATGCACAATTAATTGGTGTGAAGGGCTTTTTTTTTTTATACTGTTTAACATTGCTCCAGTACCTCTGTTTTCATCTGCATTTGGCTGAGGTGGACCTTCTTTAATTTGCTGCAATCTTCTCAGCAACTCTTCTTTAGTAATCTCCCCTAAAATGAGAAAACAAAAGAAAATGTGTATAGCAGTGAAAGTAATTACAAAACGAGAGCAATCCACATATGTCTTTATTTCAGTGAAACTAAATTCTCATTTTGTTTCTTCATATGCAACAAGCTATCAAAGATCATAAATATGAGGTGAAAATGGAGGTGTAGCCAACAGCATCTAAAAACTGCCCTAGAAATTTTGCACTTTTTTTCTTAGAGTCACTGAGGGACACAGGAATTTCCAGGTATTAATTATAGTTGTGGAATATGAGTGGTAAACAGGCACTTGAGCCACATTTTACCACACCCCTAAATTGCAAACAGAGGGTGTACACATGCAGTAGTCATGATGCTCTGCAGTAAAATTGATCACCTCTATTGCATGTGGCAAGTAGCACCATCGCTGAACGCATTCAGGAAATGGGGCCACACTGCAATGCAGTGGTGAGGCACTTATGAAATTAAAATTGGCAGTAAGAAGACAACCTTCTCACCACCTGTCAAATGCCTCTGAAAAGCGATCCACCAGAAAAAAAAAAAAAAAGCCAGCACAGGATAACCCCATCCACAACCACCATGGCTCAGGTTCATAGTAAACGTAGTACTAAGAGGAAGAAAATAAAAACACAGACAAGGCACCCTTCTCCCTCAGGGGACTCCAAAAACAGTATTTTATGGCAAGTACAAAAAATCCTATTTTCTCCCCTCCATTCATCTGAGGGACGCAGGAATTTTTAGACTGAATGCCCAAAAGCATTCCAACAGAGATGTGGACAACATAGCAACAAAGGATTAAAAAAAAAAAACAAAAAAAAAACATGAAGGACCCAATTCTTGAAGCTGGCATCAGATGTGACCTGAACCTCTGCCTGATTTTCTAAGGAAAATGAAAACGGGATTACTTAAGTGAACCAGTCCTTCCTGAAAAGCCGTGGTTGAGAAAAATTCTCACAGCCCCAAATACATCCAGCCAATATGGGACAATTTTAGGTCAGTGAATTATAGCCAGATAGAGGGATGAGAGCACAATGTCCTTGTGGAGGTGAAAGCCAGATCTTAGGCAAGTAGAAAATCCTGGTCTCAACATTACCTTGTGCCTATACAAACCAGAAAGGATTCTTGAAGGATAAAGTTTGGAGTTCAGACATTTGGCTCACAGAACGAAAAAGAGAAAGAGGTCTCAAATTGGTTCAAACAAAAGTTTGAAGTGTCGAGAGAACCAGATTTTCAATCCTACAGGGGAACGAACAAGGGAGAGCTACATGAGAGACTCACTGTATAAAGGTGTAGGAGAGTGCAGGCACCTCCTAATGTCCACTCCTGTTCTCCTTACACTCTTACTGCTTACAGAATGTGATATAGCCAAGAGGAAAGTGACCAAGAAATGCTTTTAAGGTAACCAGTTAATATAAACTTTGAACTTTGCAAGATCAGGTATGATGTGGTGCCTGTCAGTACCTATGCTTGCTAAAACTCATTTGTGGGCCAGAGGTTTTTTCACTTTGTTAAAGGATACCTGCGCTGTGAAATAAGGAGGCTGCCACTGCCGACATCCTAAAAAACTACTTACTTGGCTGCCTCTGGCTTAAACAAAAAAAATATAGATTTTTTTATTTAACCGCTTCAAGTCCGGGCACTTTTATCCCATTCCTGTCCAGGACAATTTTCAGCTTTCAGCGCTGTCACTCTTTGAATGACAGTTGCACGGTCATGCAACACTGTATCCATATGAAATTTTTAGCATTTTTTTTGAGACAGATGAAACTTTATTTTGGTGGTATTTATTCACCACCGGGATTTTTACTTTTTTTGCTATATAAATAAAAAAGTCCAAAAATTTTGAAAATAATCTTTCTTCAGAAATCTTGGCCAAAATGTGTTCAGTTATCTTTTTAGTAAAAAAAAAAAAAAAAACAAAAAAAAAAAAAAATAAAAAACCAAAATTAGTTTATAACCAAAAATAATAATTTTCTTTACATTTTTATATTATTTATGGATTTTTTTTTTTTTTTTAAACATACTGTCACCCTAGCAGTACAGTGTCACGATAGTGATACTGTACTACTTGTGGGGGGGTAATGAAGATTTTTTTTTTTGGCCAATCGGCGATCACATGATTGGGACCTCACACAGAGGTCCCATACAGTGATCGGTGTTCCGCTGTATCCTCCAGGGAGCGCGCACAGGCTAAAATGGCGGGTGCAGTTTATGAACAGCAACCCGCTCCTGCACTGCTCCCATCCGGCCGTTTATATACATGGGCCGGGCGGCAAGTGGTTAAATCAAATTTATTTTAATAAAAATCTATTTAAGATACATTAATAATTTAGTTTGTTCAGCATGAAGTGGAGCTTAGTTATGTAGCATGGGGCTGTATATTCCGCAATATTTACATTTTCGGTAAACTCATTCAATGAATCCAAGCTCTGCGAAGCAGAGTTAACATGCACTGCATTGATGCATTCACACAATTTCACAGCAACCATGAGAAAAAACATGAAATAAAAGAATCTGAGTAGTTCGGCAGCTATGTGTGATTAACCTATTAACTTAAAATCGATTCTGATATCGCTGTTTTACTAACCTGACAGCTTATTATTCTAAAAAGGAAACCTTAATTTGCAAATATTAAAGATTCTAACTACCAGCAAGACTGAGTCAGATTCCTTACATTTAAAGAGCACCTGTCATTTTAGATCAATCATGTCAGCGCCTGTTAGCAGGCATCCACTCACCTGCTGACACCAGATCTCACCTTGCTGTGTCACGGTCACATCACCAGATGTCCCATTAAAGTGAACAGGACTGTCAATGAGTCAACAGTGGGTCAGAGGAGCCGCTGCAGGACAGAGATGACAGCTGCCCTTTAAAAATTATGATTTAAATCGAGCCTTTTCACTAGTGATTTAAATCAAATCCACCCTGATATATATATATATATTCATATTCACACACACATACATATATACATACACTATATTGCCATAAGTATTAGGATACACCTCCATGGCCACAGGTGTATAAAATCAAGCACTTAGGCATGCAGACTGCTTCTACAAACATTTGTGAAAGAATGGGTCGCTCTCACGAGCTCAGTGAATTCAAGCGTGGTACCGTAATTGGTTGCCACCTGTGCAACAAGCCCATCTGTGAAATTTTCTTGCTACTAAATATTCCACGGTCAATTGTTAGTCGTATTGTAACAAAGTGGAAGCAACTGTGAACAACAACTCAGCCACGAAGTAAAATGACAGAACGGGGTAAGCGCATGCTGAAGTGCACAGTCATCGCCAACTGTCTGCAGAGTCAATAGCTAAAGACATCCAAATTTCATGTGGCCTTCAGATTAACACAACAGTGCGTAGAGAGCTCATGGAATGGGTTTTCATGGCCGAGAGGCTGCATCCAAGCCTTAGATCACCAAGTGCAATGCAAAGCGTTGGATGCAGTGGTGTAAAGCATGCCACCAAGGACTTAAGAGTAGTGAAGACGTGTTCACTGGAGTGACGAATCACACTTCTCTGTCTGGCAATCTGATGGATATGTTTGGGTTTGGTGGTTGCCAGGATAAAGGTACTTGCCTGAATGCATTGTGCCAAGTGTAAAGTTTGGTGGAGGGGGATTATGGTGTTGGGTTGTTTTTCAGGGGTTGGGCTTGGCCTCTTAGTTCCAGTGAAGGGAACTCTTAAGGCATCAGCATACCAAGACATTTTGGACAATTTCATGCTCCCAACTTTGTGGGAACAGTTTGGTGATGGCCCCTTCCTGTTCCAATATGACTGCGAACCAGTACACAAAGCAAGGTCCATAAAGACACGGATGAGTGAGTTTGGGGTGGAGGAGCTTGAATGGCCGGCACAGAGTCCTGACCTCAACCAGATAGAACACCTTTGGGATGAATTAGAGCGGAGACTTCGAGCCGGGCCCGTCCAACATCAGTGTCTGACCACACGAATGAGCTTCTGGAAGAATGGTCAAACATTCCCATAGACACACTCCTAAACCTTGTGGACAGCCTTCCCAGAAGAGTTGAAGCTGTTATAGCTGCAAAGGGTGGGCCAACTTAATATTGGACCCTACGGACGAAGACCCGGATGCCATTAAAGTTCATGTGCATGTAAAGGCAGGCATTCAAATACTTTTAGCAATATAGTGTGAGTGTATTAAATTTTATAGAGGAACTAAGGAAAAACCTGTTTTTTTTTTTTCCAAAATTGTCTGCATTTTTTTTTTTAAATAGCAAAAAGATAAACAACCTAGTGGTGATTAAATATCATCAAAAGAAAGCTCTATTTGTACTAAATATTTCATTTGGGCAGTATTGCATGACTGAGCCATTGCCAGTTAAAGTAGCGCAGTGTTGAATAGCAAAGAAACGGCCGTGGTAAAACCTTCAGGAGGTCAAGCAACGGGTCACTGAAGTGCTCTCAGGGAAAAAAACAGAATGGTAACTGGGCACATTTATCCACTTTCATGATTAGCAATATTAACAGATTTAAAGCTATTAAAGCAGAAGAGTGCACAAAATTGGTCATGGCCTTATTTCCATAGTTTCTCAATAAACTTACAAAATACATAAAAGTTGCACTAAAATTAATGTACCTGGAGTTCCTAGCAAATTATTATCTCTCATAAGCCGATAATCCTCCTCATTCAAATTATTTACAAACTGATAGAAAGCTTCCTCTCTGTCCAACCGATCCATCTGACTCTGGCGTTGAGAATCTGACTGTTCAGCATTTCCTTTTCCGGTAGAGTCGGTACTCTCCATGTTGACTAACAAATGTATTGGTGAACCTGTCTAACAAAGAAACTATGTTAATACACAAGGTACAGAAAGTCTGCCAAACACACACATACTCAGCATGGAGAACAATCCACAAAGGACTATCATGCAAAATATTTCAAATACTTGTTAAAAACAAAACCCTACATCACGATCAGAAATGCCTCGCTTAACCACGTGCCCGCCAGAGGATTTACTCCCCTTCCTGACCAGGCCATTTTTTGCGATACAGCACTGTGTTACTTTAACTGACAATTGCGCTGCCATGAAACACTGCACCCAAATGAGATTTACGTCCTTTTTTTCCAGCTAATAGAGCTCTCTTTTGTTGGTATTTGATCACCTGTGCGGTTAAAATTTTTTGCACTATAAACAAAAAATTGACAATTTTGAAAAAAACAAAACAGTATATTTTTGCTGCGGTGGGCATTCTGACACTGGGGGGACCTGACTTGGTGTTATTGACATCCCCAGTGACACCAATACAGTGATCATTGCTAATAAAAAGCACCGACACTGTACTAATGGACTGGGCAGGAAGGGGTTAACATGTGGGGTGATCAAAGAGTCAACTGTGTGCTGTTTTACTATGTGGGCTGTGTGCTTTACACTGTAAACACACTGATTTGTACGGCTCTGCCATGCAGAGCCGTACAAAGCAGTGTGCAGGAGGTGACAGGGGAGAGATCTGCAATGTTTACATACATATCTCTCCCCCGTCGGAAATACTTGGGAGATTGCCGGGTGGGAATCACCAGCCGGAACCTGTTGACTGACAGCCCAGGCTGCGAATGGTGGTGCGAGCAGTGCACATGCCCACTACACGGAACTGCAAAATCACCTATATAAACATGATTTTGCGCACCCGTTCCGCCCTGTAGCAGTATTTCTGCTACAGGGCGGCGCAGAAACGGTTTTTTAAAGCAGTTCTAAAAGGCATAACATTTCACACAATCTGGGTTGCAACCTTACTGGGGTGCTTTGCTAGCAAGGACTGTCTCTACATAGAGTATATATAGAAATTAGGTGTAGAGGTATCCGTGAAGACCTAATTTCTTTGATTAGTACAAATGGGTCTTCACTCTCCCAGTGAGATAATCAACTACTTAAAGCAGAGCTCCACCCAAAAGGGCAAGTTCCACTTTAAGGCTTCATTTCCCGCTCCCCCCGTTAAGGCCTGGCACCATTGGGGAGCACCTGAAAGGGATACCCGAATTTGACAAGTACCTGCTCCCACTTTCGCTGTGATCGCCTAGGTGATCAGAAGTGAAAGTTGTCCTCCCCCCTCCCTCCCCGTAGTTTTTTGGGGACACGTGACAGGTCCCAGCAGACTATGGGACCATCCAAAAAGCACAACACTACTTCAGCATGTGCAGTGGGCACCTGCCTGTGAAGCTGCAATCTGTCACAGCCCGGTGCCTACACTGAAGATGCCGGCACCATGCGACAGGATGACCGGTGAAAGCGAACGGTGTGAGGACACAGTGGGATCGAGAGACAGGTGAATGTTTTTTTTTTTTTAAATCAAGCAGCTACAGTTTTTGTAGCTGCTAAAAATTTTTTTTTTTGACTGGCGCTCCACATTAAACTATATCCATAGCTAACTTTTGGATGAAGTGAATTCCTCTCACTTCCTGTCTGGTGATAAGGTTGTCCCAAGAACAATAAGTGAGGGGAAATCAACAGAACTGAAGTATAGATTTTTACTTAGTTTAAGTTATGTAGGGAAATACTAGAACCTGCGTCAGCTTGTTGTGTTCCCCTGCTGCATAATTTCCCTCACTTCTTGTCTTGTAAACTGTGGTCTCCAGAACGGACAGTGAAGGGAAAGCTCTCTGATCTCCAGATACAACCCCTGGCAAAAAGTATGGAATCACCACTCTTGGAAAATGTTCATTCAATTGTTTAATTGTGTAGAAAAGAAAGAAAAAAAAAAAAAAAAAAAAAATCACAGACATGCCTCAAAACTATTTTCATTTAACATTCCAACCCTCTGGCTTTGAAAAACACTTAAAAAAAAGAAGAAAACTGTAGTCAGTTGCAACTGTTTTTGCAGACCAAGCAGAGTAAAAAAATATGGAATCACTCAAAATTTGAGGAAAATATTACGCAATCACCATGTACTTTGCAGTTCTAAAACAAACATCTGCATCAGATTACATCTGCTAATTAGTCTGCAGTTAAAAAAAAAAACTGATTGAATGAAGTGAATATGTTTTCCCTGAAACTGATGTGTAGAAAGCAGAAAAAAAAGGGACAAGTGTAAGGATTTGAGCAACTGTAACAGGGGCCATATTGTAATGTCTAGAGCAAATCCACAACTGCAGCTCTTCTGGAATGTTCCTGGTCTGCATTGTTCGGGGCCTACCAAATGTGGTCCAAAGAAGGAAAACTGGGAAAAACCGGCAACAGGGTCATGGGTGGCCAACGTTTATTGATGCGCATGGGAAGCAAAGGCTGGTTCGTATAGTTCAATCCAATAGAAAAGGTACTGTAGTTCAAATTGCTGAAAATGTTAATGCTGGTACTGATAGAAAGGTAACCGAATACACAGTGCATCAGTTTGTGTCATATGGGGCTGTGTAGCCATAGACTGGTCAGGGGGGGCCATACTGACCCATGTCCATAGCCAAAAAGCATCTGGTGGTCCGATGAATTCAAGAATGGTTTGAGGAACATGAGTGTGATTAGTTGCCTTGGCCTCCAATTCTCCACATCTCAATCCAATCGAGCATGTGTGGGATGTGCTGGAAAGACAAGTCCAATCCATGGAAGACCCACCTCGCATCTTACAGGACAAAGTAGAATAAGCAAAACTTTTCTTCCCATTTTGGATAGAGAAAGAGAGGGTTATAACCCGTCAGTTTATTTTTTGCCATCTGCGTTCCACTGGGGAGATTTACCATTACTTCCTGTCCCATAGCCAAAACAGAAAGTGAGAAAATCTCTGCAAATTAAGGGAATTCCTTGGGGACCCCCAAGTCACCAAAACTAGTGTCCCCATTGGAAAATCCCTCTCACCCCCATTACCTTTCTGTGGAAAACCCAAATTTGGCAATTTTTTTTACTTTCAATGATAATGGTAAACAGGACAGACAGAGAGGGTTATCTCCCTAATGGGGGCACAAACCGCAATAAAAACATGACAGGTATTCTGATCCATCTCCACTCTATCCAAAAAATTTTTTAAAAGTTTTGCCTTTAGTTAAACTTTAAAAGATCAGCTACTGATAGCTAGGTGCCAGATACCACAGTGTACCTTCAGAGGTCTAGTGAAGTCCATGCCTTGAGTTATGGTAGGTGGTCAAAATGTTAATGACCAATTGGTGTATAGTTAAACAGCAAAATAAAGACATCTGTTCTTTTAATTTTGAACATTACATTAATGAAAATACAGAACAGACTACCTTTACCAGGAGAACAACTTTAAACTATAACAGAAAGCCAAAATGTTCCCATGGCTTGCCTGCACTGTGGTAGCTGAACTGGTGTCAACGCAGAAAAGTCATGGTCCTTGAGCTGACAAATGTCGACTTAAGGGTGAGGGAGCATTTGAGCAAAGCCCTCTGCAACACAAGGACAAACGTTATTCTGGGAACTGACATTTTTATAAAAAGGCGTGAGAATCCTGCTTCTGGTCCAAGGCATTTTTTATTAGTTTGGTGCTACAACCATGAACAAATATAAAGTTTTTACATGTAAAATTCTTAACAAAAAAAAAAAAAAAAAAAGTCAGCACACAAAGGAGCTGACGATCGACTAAGGAGTGTATCAATCTCAAACAGCTACTAGGACCAACTTGGTTATTTACATGCGATCATAGCAACCAAACCACAATTCCAGTAGTCAGTTTCTTTTTTCCCCTAGGCGCCAGATCTAGTTATTCCCCACATTATCCCTTTTTTCCTTCTATCCGTATATGTCTCCTTTTGGGTTACTATAATGTTTTGCCTCCTTTGCTACTATTCAGGTTTCTTATCAACTATTCATCATGCTGGCCGTACAGTCAACTGAGCCACCATTCCTTTTTGCTGCCTTCATTACTATTTGTTAAAACATGCAGAACAGACTTGAGAACGTTCTCAGAAATTTTGTCGCCTTGCCTTATACAAATTGTGTGTATTGTAGAAAAGCTTGTCTAGTACTGGACTACATTATGTGACTTGTCCACCTCGGGTAAAAGGAAGTATATTTATTTATTTCAGGTACTTATATAGCTCTGTCAATTTACGCAGCGCTTTACATATATATTGTACATTCACATCAGTCCCTAACCCTCAAGGGGCGTACAATCTAAGGTCCCTAACTCACATACATACACATACTAGGGCCAATTTAGACAGGAGCCAAATCACCTCTCAGCATGTTTTTGGAGTGTGGGAGGAAACTGGAGTACCTGGAGGAAACCCACGCAGGGACAGGGAGAACATGCAAACTCCAGGCAGGCGGTGCCGTGGTTGGGATTTGAACCAACGACCCTAGTACTGCCAGGCAGAAGTGCTAACCACTTAGCCACTGTGCTGCCCAAAAATGTTTTATTTTGAGATTTTAAAGTTTTACTAAACCCAGGACCTTCATTCACTCTATCTAGTCTCCCATGGTACACAGAACATGGAAATGCAATTATTTTAGTAAATATAAATTGCTAAATACCTTTTCTCATCAGCAGTTAGGAGCAATCTTGTGACTACTATCAGTGTCCAGCAGAGCACTGGTTACAGCGTGTAGGAGGAGTTTTCATTCTCCTGTAGGGTGCAGGACCCCTGACCTCTGTCTGGAGAGTGCTGATTAAATGCATTCTCCCAAGGAAAAAAAAAAAAAACTCTAGCAATACATACCAAACTGAGCATGTGTTTATAGAGCAGGCGGCTGCCATAGTAGAGCAGAGCACTTCTGGTTACACAGGAGAGCCACACTCTCCCAGTGTAATCTGCAGGACTCAATCATCTGGTTGCAAAGTTTTTTGTTCAGTCACCATGGCAACT